ATATTTATGTTTGTGGTTGTAATGTGAAAAAATATGGAAAAGTTCAAGGGGTATGAATACTTTTGCAAACCACTGTAAGTCTCGGGTACCTATATGTTGATTTATAACTCATTATATCAGAAATTTGTCAAATTCAGGTTATTTGAACTAACTTTAGCAGATAACGGCTAAACTTTAGCTAAAATTGCAGCAAATAGCTAAATATTACAGAAAGCAACTGTAAGAAGCATGTATAGCACAAATTAGCAGAAAATGTGTAAGCAGAAAAAAGCAGAGGAATAGTAGAAAGAAGTAGAATTTTAGCTGATATAACAGCAAAACAGCTAAAGTTAGCATAAAAATAAGCTAAAAGTAACAGACTCAAGTTAAAGGTAGCACCCAGATGGAAAAATGGTTGTGAAAATTTCAAAATTAGCAGAAAAAACCCCATAAAACTACAAAAAAGTGATCATTTTAAGTAAAATGGGTAAAACAGCCAAAGGTTTCAATTAAACAGCTAAAACGTAGCTGGACACATTTAATTAGCCTAAGGATGCAAAGGAGCAAAAGTTTGCTAAAKTTAGCAGAATTATGTTGAAATAACTCTAAAAAATGTGTAATTAGCTTAGAAAGCCAACTCTGGCTAATAACAGCTAAAATTTGGCTAATTTTGTTGCAAATAGCTGAATATATCAGAAAGCAACTTTAAGAAGCATAAATAGCACACATTAGCAGTAAAAAGTAGAAAAAAGCAGAATAGCAGAAAGAAGTAGAATTTTAGCTAATATGTCAACAAAAGAGCTAAAGTTAGCATAAAAATAAGCTAAAAGTAGCAGACTCAAGTCGAAAGTAGCACCCTGATGGTGAAATGGTTGTAAACACTTCAAAATTAGCAGAAACCCCCCATAAAACAACTAAAAAGTGATCATTTGAAGTAAAGTAGGAAAAACAGCCAAAGTTTTAAGTAAAACAGCTAAAAAGTAGCTGAAAATGTATTAATTAGCATAAGGATGCATAGGAGCACAAGTTTGCTGAATTTAGCAGAATTAAGTTGAAATAACTCCAAAAAATGTGTAATTAGCTTAGAAAGCTAACTTTGGCTAATAACCGCTAAAATTTAGCTAAATTTGTAGAAAATAACTGAATATAACAGAACAGAACAGAGTGGACTTTCAGTGTTAGCTTCATGGTGGTGATAGAAAATGACTTATTCTTGAAACAAAACGTCATGAGGACCTGTGTATGACAGAGGACCTGGAGTTTATAAACAGATAATAAAAAGTTTCTGAGTAAAATATGTTATTTAAATGTTTTATTTAGTTATCAGCTTATTATATAACCATATTGATGCTGTTGTTAATGTTTGGCACAGCTGTGGCTGCAGCTGAAAAAACCTGTTAAATGTGTCGCTTCAGAGATGACTTTTATTCTGGCTTCATGAGACACCTGTCTGTGCTGCAGCAGAGACACCTGTCTGTGGTGCAGCAGAGATACCTGTCTGTGGTGCAGAGACACCTGTCTGTGGTGCAGAGACACCTGTCTGTGGTGCAGAGACACCTGTCTGTGGTGCAGAGACACCTGTCTGTGGT